AGGGCTCATGAGGGAGGGGGGAGCAGGGAGGGAGGGGAAAGGTGAGGACCTAATGTCAGGGGCTTAAGTGGAGAGGACAAGTTTTGGGAGTGATGAGGGCAATGAATGTATGAATGTGCTTTGCACAGTTGATGTATGTATGGATTGTGATGAGAGTTGTATGATCCCCTAATAAAATGATTTTTTTTAAAAGTCCAGGATTGCAGCTTTCAGTATGGACTGCAATGCGAGGTAAAGAAGACAAAAATACCCACAACTAGACCAATAGACTAATGCATCATGATAAATGGAAAAACAATTGAAGTTATCAAGGATTTTGTCTTGCTTGGCTCCACCATCAATGTTCACAGAAGCAGCGGCCAAGAGATCAAAGAATGCATTGCATTGCATACACATGCTGCACAAGACCTCTGGAGAGGGTTGAAAAGCAAGAGTATTACTTTGAGGACTAAAATACACCTGATCCAAGCCAGGGTATTTTCAATTGCATTCCTACATGTGAAATTTGGACACTACATAAGGAAAAATGAAGACAAATTGATGTATTTGAACTATGGTGCATGTGAAGAATATTGAAAGTACCACAAAGTGCTAAAAGGACAAACAAACCTATCTTGGAAGAAGTATGGCCAAAGTGTTCCTTAGAGGCAAGCATGGCGAAACTTTGCTTGAATACTTTATACATGTTGACAGAAGAGACCAGTCCTTAGAGAGGGGCATTATGCTTGGTAAAGTAGAAGGGTACTGAAAAACAGGAAGGCCCTTAAGGAGGTAGATTGGCACAGGAGCTGCAGCACAGGAACAATTGTTAGGACAGAAAGACTGGGCAGGGCTGTTTTTCATTGTTCAGGGTCACTATGGATCACAACTATCTCGATAGCACCTCACAACAAGAAGTAGAATAAACTGTAGTTTTAAACTAGTACCACTCTCATCGCATATATTTTGGTGAGTCAGTTTTCTAAGCACTTTACTCATATGAACTCATTTAATAATCATAATGGACCTCTAAGGTCCTATCATGGGGCAGTGGTTATGCATTGAGCTGCTAACTACCAAGCTCAGCAGTTTGAACCCACCAGCTGCTCCACAGAAGAAAGATGAGACTTTCCACTACCCTAAAGAGTTACAAGCTTGGAAACACACAAAGGCAATTCGTTTGGATCCTGCTCAATAGGGTTGCCATGAGTCGGAATCAACTTATTGGCAGTGAGTTTGGTTTTGGTGTTTACAGATGTGAAAGTGCATCACACATATGATAAACAACAGCTGGGATTCAAACCCAATAGCCTGCCTCCAGCATCTACACTGCACTCTATTGTCTTCCTAATTGCTATTCTGTCCTGCTGATCAGCATGGCATTGAATAACCTTTCAAGGCATGATGGACACTTTGGGAAAGGTTAATCACTATTGATAGTGGCTGTAAATCCATACTTCAAACAGTCCTCTTGGTCATCACATGTGATTAGATTATCATTATTTTGTACACCTGGACTGGGAGCTTTGCATGAGCAGGACAGGTCCCAACATGGTGATTTTCCTTTGCTCTTCTTTGTGGGTTCCTCTGACACTACCATCAAGTCACAAGTTATTTTCAGAAATC